ACACCAGACCTTTTCTAAGATTTACTAGTAGAAGTACGTTCACCGTTCCTTCTAAGGCCTAGCTGTGAATGATTGACATCCGTAAACTTAACAGTAAATCGTTTTGTCCGAGTTCCCATTTTGCTACACTCCATTGTCCATATATGACACTCACACAATGTACTCCAAACAAAATTATAAAGATAGAGTAATTCCCTCTTGAAATGCAAAGAAAGAATGCGAGAATAAAAACTCAATTCGATTCATTCATTGATGAGTATTACATTCAATTTATAAAAAAGGATTAACTAAAATAGGTAACAAATTACCTACCAATTAGCCCTAAATAAAGGAGTAAATAATTCAATCCTACAGCTGTACTATAAGAGATAAAATCTCAACACTCCCCCTCAAGTTGGTGCATAGATGTTACACATGCCCAACTTGTCTAAAAATTTTGAAAACACTTTATTTGAGACTGCTTTGGTGAGAATGTCGGCTAGTTGATCCTCAGATCGAATTTTAGGCAACTCCACAATTTTCCCATCCAACTCCTCCTTAATGAAAAATCTGTCTATTTCAACATGCTTCGTACAATCATGTTGAACTGGATTATGGGCAATATCTCATGCTGCTTTATTGTCACAATATAGTCGAATCTGTTTTCTAGGTTGATGACCCAAATCCCACGAGAGAAGTCTTAACCACAAAGTTTCACAAAAGTCCAAACGTCATACCTCTGAATTCAACTTCTGCACTCGAGCGAGCAACAACATTTTGTTTCTTGCTTCTCCATGTAACAAGATTACCTCTTACAAAAGTGAAGTAACCAGAAGTAGATTGCCTATCATCTATAGCTCCAGCCTAATTAGCATCAATATATGCATCTATTGTTTGATAACCAGCATTCTTAGTGAACAAAATTCCTTTTCCAGGAGCAGATTTCAAATACCTCAAAATGCGCATAACTGCATTCATATGTTGCTTTCCAGGATCATGCATAAACTGGCTAACAATGCTCAATGCATAAGCCAGATCCGGTCTCGTGTGTGCTAAGTACATCGATCTCCCTACAAGTCTTTGGTATCTTCCTTTATTAGCAGGTACTTGGTTTGACTCAACACATAACTTCAGTCCTTCTTCTACTGGTGTCTTAACTGGTTGACATGCTGTCAAACCAGTCTCTTGTAACAGATCTAAGGCATACTTTCTTTGAGATATAAAGATTCCTTTATTAGATCGAGATACTTCGATCCTAAGGAAATATCTCAAAGGACCTAGATCTTTCATTTCGAATTCTCTGGACAAGTACTTCTTGAAAGCCTTCATTTCTTCAGGATCATTCCCTGTAACCACCATGCCATCTACATATACAATGAGTGCAATGATCTTACCCTGTTGTATCTTCAGAAATAATGTATGGTCTGAATTGCTCTGACGGTAGCCAAAAGGCTATCATTGACTTTGTGAATTTTCCAAACCATGCTCTCAGAGATTGTTTTAACCCATATAATGATTTCTTTAACCTGCAGACCTTCCGAGTATACTTTTCGGGTATCATGCATCCTGGTGGAAGATCCATGTAGACTTCTTCAGATAATTTACCATGGAGAAAGAATTCTTCACATCGAATTGTTGCAATGGCCAATCCAAGTTCGCAGTTAAAGATAACAAGACCCGAACTGTGTTGATTTTGGCTACAGGTGCGAATGTCTCTGTGTAATCGATTCCATAGCTTTGGGTGTAACCTTTTACCACCAATCTTGCTTTAAAGTGTTCAACTATGCCATCTGCTTTATACTTCACAGTGTAAATCTATCGACATCTAACTGGTTTCTTTCCTAGTGGAGGATCAATGAGTTCCCAAGTTTCATTTTTCTGCAGGGATTTCATCTCCTCGTTCATAGCTGCTTTCCACCTAGGGTCAGCTAAGGTTTCCTGCACACTGTTAGGAATAGATACAGTAGATAATTGATTTACAAATGATAAATTTGATTCTGACAATCGATGGTTCGACACATAATTGCTCATGGGATACTTAACTTTACTAGAAAGTTCGGGTTCATATGTGGGTTTGGGAATACCTCTAGTGTGACGCGGTGGTAATTGTTTTCTGAACGGCTTTGGCACTAAATCAGGAACATCCGCAGCAGGCGATTGGTTTGATATATCAGTTGCGAGGGACTCGAACTCGGACGACGATGGGTTTGGCACTATACTTTCCATTTCTGGGCATTCATCACCACTTTGATCCAAACTTATACCACTCGAATCCAATTCGCCTGATTCCTGATTGGTTGATCCACCTTGTGAGCCAATCCAATTCGCTTGATTCCTGTTTGGTTGGTCCACCTTGTGAGTCATTAACACTAGAATCACCGTCCTCAAAAATGTGATAATCATAATCTAGAGTCTGAATTTCGTTCTGGTACTCCCCCTGAAGTTCAGACGCAGAGGAAAAATACATCGAGTCTTCATAGAAGACAACATCCATTGTGATAAACATTCGTCGAGTGGGAGGGTGATAACAGTGATACCCCTTTTGATGAGTAGCATATCCGAGGAAAACACATCGCAACGAGCGAGGAGTTAGCTTATTGCGTTGATACTTATAGAGGTGTACAAATGCGACACAACCAAAGACATGAGGAGGTAGATTTGCAACAGTTGGGGCAACAACTGCGTCAATGAGAGCCTGCAATGGTGTCCGGAAAGCAATAGAACTGGAAGGTACTCGATTGATGAGATATGCTGCAGAGGTAAGTGCTTCTCCCCAATATGATAATGGCATATGCACTTCTATCAATGAAGCATGAATAACCTCCAACAAGTGTCGATTTTTTCGCTCTGCAACCCCGTTCTGCTGAGGTGTATTTGAACAAGTGGTTTGATGAATAGTTCCATGAGCTTCCAAATACTGCTGAAGGTCAAAACTCTGATATTCTCCACCATTGTCACTACAGAGAACCTGAACATGTGCATTGTATTGCGTTTCAACCATTTTATGAAATTTCTGAAACAATAAGTTCACTTTACCTTTGGACTTCATTAAGCACAACTAGGTCATCTTGGTACAGTCATCAATAAAAGTAACAAACCAACGGGATCCACCTAAAGTAGTGACTTTGGACGGACCCCAACCATCAGAATGTATAATCATAAAAGGAAGTAGACCTTTATGCAAACATAATGGATACGAAACACGATGGCTCTTTGCTAGTTCACAAACATCACAGCGGAAACTAGAAATATCACATTTTGTAAATAAACTAGGAAATAATTTTTTCAGATAACCAAAGGAAGCATGCCCCAGACGTTAATGCCACAGCCATATTTCAGACTTTTTTCTCTCCCCCTCAGAACCATCCACTGTCAATGCTTGTCGTAGCTTGTCGGAACTTTTGGACATCAAGTCCAAGTAATACAGTTTCCCTCGCCTAATACCACAACTAATCGTCTGCTTTGTTTGGATGTCCTTAAACACACAAAAATCAGGCCAAAAAATGACAACACAAGATAAAGCCTTGGTTATTTGGGAAACTGACAAAAGATTATAATCTAAAGATGGAATAACTAAAACAGAATCTAAATGCAGATTATCAGTGAGTGTCAAAGATCCTTCCCCAATAATTGGGGTCGAAGTCCCATTGGCAGTAGAAACAACTTTGTGCGAGAATGAATTAAGAGGTGAGACTTGTCTAGAATCAAATGTCATATGATCTGTGGCACCAGAATCAATTATCCATGCACTATTAGCAACATGTGTAGAAATATTGAAATTCTTACCACCAATATCTGTTATCTTAACAACTACTGCAGTGGAGGTCTTTGTTGAATCCTTCTTCCAATGGCGATGATCCCACCATTTCGGATATCCCACAAGTTTAAAACAGCGACTTTTGGTATGACCAATCTGGTTGCAATAAGTGCATTTGTAGGTAGGCTTGTCTGCTCCATATGATTCAATATTTGTTTCACTCATTTATTTATTTATTTTTTTAACTAGTTTATCACAGAACTAGTTTTCAAATAAGGTTACAAAAAACTGGTTTAGTTTGGAACTAATCCAAAACTGGAATAGTTTTACACTTGTGGCCAAACAGAGGGTTTGGATATATGATATATATTATTATTATTATTATTATTATTATTATTATTATTATTATTATTATTATTATATATATATATATATATATATATATATATATATATATATATTAGACAATATACGATACCACATGAAGCATTTGGGGATAGCAGGACTCGGCAAGGAGAAGATGAACCGGTGGTGGAGCTCGGTCGTGAGCTCCGGTCGAGGAAGGCGACTAGCGATGGTGCGGCAGTGGCGAGTCGGCCGCAGATCGGCTCCGCGAGTCCAAATCCAGTTCAGATCGGCGACTAGTTTGGGATTTTGGAGAGCAGCAATGCAGAGCCATATCCGGCGACGCCAGATCGCCGGCAGCGGTGCAGCAGTTCGTAGGCATATTTAGATCTGGCGACGGCAGAGCACTGGCGGCGATGCAGCGGTGCGGCTATGGACGGTGCAACGAGATCCGGAAATGCGATGCGATGATCCGGCGAAGATCCGGCAATGCGATGTCGAGGTGTAGAGGTTCCGGCGACGGTTGAGACTTGTGATGCCAGTGGTTGTACGTGTATCTGTTATGCGTATGGTTATATTGTATGGGTATGGTTATGCTGTATGGGTCTGTTGTATGAATGTTTATGTATGGGTATGTGTATGGTTCAATAAATTTAACAAATAAATTCAAAGCGATTCAAAAAAAATACGGTTCAAACATGGCTCTGATACCATCTTGAAATGCAGAGAAAGAATATGAGAATAAAAACTCAATTCGATTCATTCATTGATGAGTATTACATTCAATTTATAAAATAGGATTAGCTAAAATAGGTAACAAATTACCTACCAATTAACCCTAAATAAAGAAGTAAATAATTCAATTCTACAACTGTACTATAAGAGATAAAATCTCAACATTCCCCGCAATATATGGAATTCAATGCTGAACACCATTTGGCAACAATAACTCTTTAAAAACTTCATCAGCCATTTCGAATTGCAAAATGGTATAAACATAATTCCATTTAGTTTTCCTATATGCAGTCCAATAGGCAACTCCTCTCATGAATTCAGGTGGGCAACCATGAATACAATAAGAAGGGGCAGCAACATCAATTCTTCTCCAAGAATCCGTGCTTAGACTATAAACCTCAACTAGGAACGAACTATTATCGTAGGGATTATCCATGTCTGGACGGGGGCTCACAATCATCACTACCTTGTAGACATTATCACGGTAGTCGAAGCCCATGGCCACAGAGCTACTATGAGAAGCCAAAGGGAGACCAAATTCAACTATTTGAGGTTTTGGTAGGGTTTTCAATATTCTAAGTGCTGGATTCCATAAAAATATGTTGCGGGATGCAATTACTGGGCTGTCACACAAGCACACTAACCCATTACAATTCCCATATATATATAAAGGTTTTAAGTGTTCTGGAAGCTCCGGTTGAAAATACTGAGCAAACGATTCATCGTATTGAATAACAGACATTGTAATTCTTATGATGAAGATCAGATTTGTACCTGTATCTGAGGAGGAGATAATTATTGTTGCTTGAGCTCATCTGATGTTTGAGATGTGCCTCAATGAAGGTAGGGTGAGTGAATAGTGAGTAGCTTGATTTGCAGATTGATCTGACTTGCAGTAGTGATTTTACCGACAGTCTAACGAAGATCTGAATCAAGATTTCTTCTGGAAGAGAGAAAAGAGACGATGATGCTTTTCCCTTTCGCAATTTTCTCTTTGCTTTCGCAGCTGCAAAATGGGGATGATCAAAACCCTAGTTTCTTATTTTCAAAATTAATAAACTTTGGGGTTCACTTTATAGGACTTTTTTAAAACGAATTTCTACATTCCATTCGGTTACAGTAGCGAAAAAAGTGAAAATAAATTTTTCCTTCTTTTAAATTTGAACCTTTTCGGACAGCAAATTCGTTATTGTGTAAAGGGTAACAGACATGGTATTAATTTGCTAGATTGGCTGCATAGACATAGTATTAATTTGTTTGATCACTAAAACTGCAAAAGTGCTCAAACAGTTCTATCTCGTATATATATCAAATTGCTAACCAATTTAGTGAATTATGTGGGTTCACATATCTTCTAGGGCAGAGTTGGTCTAAATTATTAACCCGGCATTCCTTTTTTTTTAAAGTATTAACCCAAGAAGTTTTTAACATGGACTATTCTGGGATTTTTTCTTTTTGATGTTTTGAGTTAGAACAAGTTGCTCCATAGTATGTTTGGAGATAATTGAGCATTCTGTTGTTTAGTCTTTCCACTTTATCATCTCTATATATCAGGTATTGCACATGGATTATGGAGGAGATTCAACCTCTCTTAATCTAACTAATTAAGGTGAATTTTTTTTTTTAGTTACACGGGAAACACATTTGCCCTCCAACACTAGCTTCTAGAGGTCCAGTCGGGAAGTAGGTATAGGGTGTGTCGGGCATACTAAGTCATTGATATATCCAACCGATTGATGCATTATTAAAGTAGGTTAATCACAATGGTGCATTAGAGTAACAAAAACACAAGAAATCACTACACAAATCATAGAAGTCTTATTCTCTGCCGTTGGACATGCAACTTCAAAAGGTTAACTTTCTTCCAGCCTTCTAACCTTCCAAAAACATATAGCAATTGCTTTAAAAACATGTGCTTCACACAGTAATAGCCATTTCATGCTCGAAGATGTATAGATTGAGACAAGTACATCTTCGCATTATAGGTGTTGACATCATATCTAGTCAATATAGAGCAGTCCTAACAGTCAACTTGCCACCTGCAGGCTGCATCTGGTATTTCAGCAATATAAAGATAACATGGAGAACTAAAAAGTTAACATTACAAAACCTAGTTTTAATTTGCAGACATAATGACCCAATCTTCAAGTTGATATTGTTCAACCGTAGCAATGGCAATAGATTATCATTCAAAATGGAATCTGATGCAAATTTAATTTTCAAATTAAATCTTCCACTAAATCAGTATATTTTGACTAAAAAAACAAAACAAAACAAAACAAAAGCAGCAGCAGCAGCAACCAACACAAGTCTAATAATATGACAAGATGATCGATATTTTTGACTCGCAGTGATTAACCCTCAAAATCCAGCTGCTTCTTGAGATTTTGTGTTGCCAGTGAATTGTTGTTGCATCATAAAAATCTGCTAGGTCACAATGTCAATTTCTGTCAATTTCCTCACCAAATATCAATGGTTAATAAATTCACGCTCCATGAGTGATAAATTAGTATATTGCACAAGATTTAATTAAATAGCTGCACCACAAGCTATTTCTTTTTTCTTTTTCTGCCGCTAGCTAATTCACATGATAGATTTCCATTATCGAGTGAAAAAAGATTATTTCCACCATCAGGTTGAATGAAGCTCTCCACATAACAAGTTACATCATTTAAACATATACGGATTCCTAGATCTTTACTTGTTTGGGTCTCAATATTACAAGACATCAGATGGCCCTCGTGGTTTTGTCGTAGCAGTTCACCCCTCTTTCTCAAGCCTAGCACCTTGGCAGGTTTGTCATGAAAATTACCAGTGAATCGTTTTGTCCAACTACTCGTTTTGCCACACTCCATTTTCCAAATTTCACAACACTTATCCAGATGATAAAATATGAAAACATACAGTGATTCCCGTTCCCCCAAAATTGCTATTTCCGGATAACAATTTCTAACACCATCCGGCAGCATTACCTCTTCAAAAACTTCATCACCCATTTCGAAACGCACAAGCAGCAAATTTTCACAACTACCCTCCCAAGTTTTCTTCTTTGCAACCCAATAAGCAGCCCCATTGACAATCGCAGGATTCCGATTAAATAAATAACATGAAGGGGCAACATCAATTCTTCTCCAAGAGTCTGTGCTTAGACTATAAACATGAAGGGGCAACATCAATTCTTCTCCAAGAGTCTGTGCTTAGACTATAAACCTCAGTTAGGAATTGATATTTGTATTGCTCATCCATCTCATAAAACAAGCACCAAATTTTCACAACCTTGTAGTCATTAGCTTTGGGGTGGATCCCAAATGCAAGACGGATGCTATAAGAATCCAAATTGGAGTAGATAATTGGAGATTTGATGCCTGGAGAATCAGGGAGGGTCTTTAGTTTTCTAAGTGATGGGTTCCATAAGTATATGGTGTCTCTGCGTACACTAGACAAGCATACGAGGTGTAACGGGTGGGCGCTTGCCCATTTACCCAAAAGCTCGAACTGTTAGGTAAGGCTGCATACCTACCCATATATACCCAATCTCTTTCCCATCCGATTCCGATGTGGGACAAAATGACCCTTGTTACATTCTCCCCCACCCAAACTCGCAACGCCCTCGTTGCGGTTAGGCCACCCTGCCTACCCGGGTGGACTCACCCGGACGCCTTCCGGGCCGGGCGCTTGGCGTGGCACCGGATCAAGGACTGGGTTTGGCTCTGATACCAACGGTAACGGGTGGGCGCTTGCCCATTTACCCAAAAACTCGAACTGTTAGGTAAGGCTGCATACCTACCCATTTATACCCAATCTCTTTCCCATCCGATTCCGATGTGGGACAAAATGACCCTTGTTACACGAGGCCATTACAGGAGCCGTCCATCCATAAAGATTTTTTGCGAATGTGTGAGGGAAGCTGCGGCTCAAAATACTCGCTAAAACATTAATCATCATAACGTATTGAGTAACGGTTAATTCTGGGAAAATCAGATTCGTAGTAGCTGAGTATGAATTTTGTGTTTTGGCTTGAGGTTTTGAGATGTGCTTGAATAAAGATAGGGTTAGTGATTAGAGAGCTCCATGATTTGCAGACTGACCTTAATCGGAGTAGTAATTTTACCGGGAGTCTGGCCAGGATCTTGGCCAGGATCTGAATCAAGATTTCTTGAGGGAGATAATAAAGATTGGAATTTGAGTCTGCTATGCTCTTCCTTGCCATTTGTTTTGGCTTAGATTCGCTCCTGCCTTGTGGGGATAATCAAAACACTTGTGGACTCCTGGTCTTTATGGGATTGTGTTGGAGTCGCAGGTCAAGTTGTACTAGGTTTGGATTTATATTCTAATTCTTATTATTATTATTATTTTATAGGATTTCAAAAAAAGTAAATTTTATTAGGATTTCAAAAAAAGTAGTAAATTTTATTAGGATTTCAAATGTTTAGAATGAATGGAATTTTAAAAGAATTAGGATTTGAGGGGATTTTATTGGAAATATTTTATAAAGTTGGCAAATTAAGGGGAAAATGGAAGTATTTGAGGTAATTTGGTAACGGACAATAATTTGAGGGAATTTGGTAAGTACTATTACTCAGGTCTGGTTAATAAATTCTCCAATGATACGCGAATTATATTTGCCGTTTAGGATTCAAAGATATTATAAAATACGGGAATTTATCACCAACTCGAATGAAAACGATTTAAAAGTGTTAGTCACCATTTAATAGGTTTTTTAGAATTAACAATTCTAATGAGTTTTAAACTTAATGGAATATACATACATAAATTCTTATAAATCTTTGTAGATATTTTATTTTTATTTTTATTATTTTTAAGATCATTTAATTTTTGTTTGTAATGGTAGATATTTATTTTATTTTTGATAGTTTATAAACCTTTTTAGTGATAAAATGAGTCAAGAATAGTGTGCATAAATGTATTATACGATATTCTAATTTAATTTAATTATAAAAAATATAAATATAAATATATATATTATCTTGAAAAGGTAGGAAAAGAGAACAAATTTTTTATTTATTTATTAATAAACATAGTTGATTATTTGAATTAGATTTTTTTAATTAATTTGTGATGAATTTATGATGATGTAGTTGTTGATTAATTACAATTAGTCAGTTTATTATTTCCATGGTTATTGTCATAATACGTCAATTTGCTAAGATTAAAATTTATTTAATTATTTCTTAACATTTCACTATTTATTGCATTTTATTTTAATGTCTTTACAAGGATATGACACATAATAAAATAAATAACGTGTGTATATATAACCAAATAATGTGTTTATGTAACAGGAGAATTTTCCAATAGAAAACCATCACTGCTAACATGCTCCTTCATCAAACCCTGGAAACAATTAGGTCCAAGCTTCTCACATCATCAATTTCTGATACTTAAGCTGCATGTTGTGGGCCTAGCCCATCCTTTGGTTAGCTATTGCAGCCTTGTACTTTTTTCCATCTGTAATCAATTTCACCTTTCAAAAAAAAAAAAAAATTTATAATTACCCGTACAATGATACTATCTTCAATTTTGTTGGATCACGAGAAAAAAATAATAATATAAACAGATCATGATAAACTTTTATTATAAAATAATATGATTAATGAAATTACACATAATTGCAATTCCTTCAATTCCATGCCATGTCACTTCGGCAAATTTTAATTTTTTTCTCTCCCCTTTTTAGTGTATGGAATTAATGGAAATTAGTTTTTTTTTTTTTTCCTGAATAATGGAAATTAGTTTGCTTTAAAATAAAAAAGTTGTGACAATACAGATTGTAATTCCATCTAAGCAATGAGCTCCCCAACTCATTCTGTGACTTTCTTTTCAAATAAATGTAAGTTATTTTGTTAGGTTGCCCTTGGTCATGAGGAATTTTTATATGACATATGAGTATTACTTTTGCTTCCCAAATCCCAAACGTTCAAATGACATGATCAATGAAACCAATAAAAACTATTTGCGGAGATATTCAGGCTTATATAAAACTACATGATCAATGGAAGATTGGTTGGGTGAAGTGGCGGGCAAATGTTTTGGCTTATAGTCTGCCCACTATCAGAGAAGAGAAACTGTATGTTTTTCTAATATTTTCCCAACTTTCATAGAAGATAAAACTTATATAGATTGTATTCATATTTAATTTCATCTAATGAAAGATTTTCTAGCCTTGGAAGGAAAAAATAAAAAATAATAGTTTAGATTGATGTTGCTAGCTCAAAAATCGCCTGAGGAGATGATTCATGCGATTATGTTGGTAAGTTGTCATTGCTCCTAAGATGTTAATGTTTTAGTGACTTCCTCCTTGTAAAAGTCTATAATAAACTGGAGGTATGATACTGAAGTTCCCGGTTGTTGGATGCAGAGGTGAAACCTATTTGATGGATGATAGATCCATACAACCCTATTCTCTGCCACATTGGGCAAGAAATCACAGATAAACATGCATTTGATGCTAGTTCATTGGGTTCTTTATATACATGGACTATCTATGTAATCCTTATTACTTGTACCATGATGTCAGGGCTATTAGAATTTATGCTGCACACCAAAATCAAACTAGACCTTACAACAAGGCAAAGACTCAATCTTCAAATTCGTACTGTTCAACCGTATCAATGGCAATAGATTATCATTATAAAAAGGAATCTGATGCAAATTTAATTTTCAAATTACATCTTCCACTAAATCAATATATTTTAAATCAAAACAAAAAACAAAAAACAAAAAATAAAAACAAAGGCAAGGAACACAGAGTGTAATAATATGACAAGACGAGTAAAATAACTCATCTCACCTCTTCTTCTTTATCATTTCTTTGTTTTAGATTGATGTCACCCCTCAAAATCCAGATGCTTCTTGAGATGTTGCGTTGCTAGTGAATTGCTACATCACGAAAATCTGCTAGGTAATAATGCATGTCACTATATGGAATAAGAATCTTTATCACCAAGTAGAGCAAGACTCTCAACATAAGAATGTAAAAAAGTAATTTGACGAGCATGGATTCCAAGATCCTTAGCTTGACGGTTCTCAAGAGACACCAGATTGTTTCTACAATTTAGTTGCATAATTTCGCCGTTCCTCTAAAGCCTACCCGCCTCAAAGTCAGATTCGAAAAATTAAACGTAAATCGTTTTGTCCAAATTCCCACTTTGCTATACTCCATTGTCCATATATCACACTCATAAGGTTTACTTTCACCAATGAAATTAAAAAGATAGAGTGATTCCCCCAATACCCCAATATCTGGTTCCCATTGTCCATGCTGAGCACCATCTGGCAGCATTATCTCTCTAAAAACTTCATCATCCATTTCGAATTGCAAAAGGGTATTCCCACTTACAGTCCCATAGACAGCTTGTCGGAAAAAATAAACCAAATACATGAACTAACTCAAATGTTGAATACATGGACCAACTCATGTGTGGAATACATACACTATCTCATTGGGAGATGAAACAATTGTGTTAAACTTAGTGTTTTATTTATTGTCTTGTAATTTGTGTCTTTCTAGAGTCATGTATTGGTGCCTATAAATACATGTTCTTAAGTTCTTTTGTAAGCAAAAAGTGAGAAAGAAATATATCAGTATTTGAGAGTCTTATATAAAAGTTGTGTGTGTTCTCCTTCTTCATATTAAGTGTCCTCCTACAAATTGGTATCAGAGCCAATTTTAAAGAAGAAAGTAGCAGAAAAATTTCAGAATTATCTCATGGCAAATACAAGCAATTGGGCTTCTCTTATTCCTCGCTTCAACGGAGACAATTATGATTATTGGAGCAACAATGTAAAGGTGCTACTCAAATCAATGAAGTTATGGAATGTTGTTGAAGAGGGTTTTGATGAACCCGAAAATGAAGATGATTTAACTCAAGCACAAAAGAATGTTTTGAATGAAAAGCGAGAAGAGGATAGCAAGGCACTTTTCACAATCTACCAAACAATTGAAATGCCGATCTACGAAAGAATTGCAAAAGCCACCAAATCCAAGCAAGCTTGGGAGATTATACAAGCGGCATACAAAGGTGAGGAAAAAGTGAAAAAGGTACGTCTTCAAACCTTAAGATCAGAATTTGAGAAGTTAGAAATGAAGGAGAATTCATCTATTTCCAAGTATTTTACAAATGTTACATCCATAGTAAATCAAATGGCTTCTAATGGAGAAATTTTAGAAGATGAAAGTGTGATTGAAAAAATTCTTCGCAGCTTGCCTAAAAAATTTGATTATGCTGTAGTTGTTGAGATTTATATGCCCTGGCATAGCAAATTCCCATTTGGATTAAAGTGACATAAGTTCCTGATGTTTTTGAAATATTTATGATTTATACAATTGGTGAATTCAATGTATTATGTTTCGATTCATTATAGAATTGATAGTGTCAACTTGATTACAAAAGATATTTATATATGTATGTGATGGCGATCAATACATGAATGTAAATAGTAATTATAAATGGTTCATAGTCGGTAATTATGGATGGACTCATAATTAATTAAGACTTGAACTAGATCTGCGTTAGGTTGAGATATATTGCGAGAGCCGTCGTATGCAATTGCCCCCTATTACCGTCATGGCATTTGACTCTTAAACATGAGAAAAGTATAGTCTTTTATTATTTAATAATTATTTTGATTTGTTCGGCGGATTCTTCGGGATCCTTAGACCGACACTTTGGGTAGTTATGTAATTACTAGTTAGAGAGTTATATTTTCAATATTTACATCATTGCTACTTGTATTTATTTTGTATTGATTATGGTTGATCACAAAGTAAATTCGAAGGCCTTCGTGTGTTTTTAGACAAAATGATTTATTATATATTTATTTATTTAAATTATTATTTTTGTCAAACAAATGTTTTATTGTGATCAAGCCAGAAATAATCAAAGGTACCAAAATAAATATATTAATTAAGTAGTCGGATTGATGGCTTTATTTATCCGATAACTAATTATGCATAGAGGGGTCAAAGTGCAATATTGACTTAGAGGTTATTTATTATTTAATTGGAGTTCAATTAATTTCTTTTAGTGGAGTAGAAATTAATTTATGAATTAATTGAATTGGGTCCATGGACCGGACCAATTATTAATTCATTGTAGCCAATAAAATAATAGGCCCAATGGATTCTCACTCATAGCTCAACTTGATATTGGAATCATATTAGATTTGAGACATGTGAATTAGAGATTGAGAAGGATTTGTTATTTCCTTTTATTTATCTTTATGTTGCCTATAAATATACATGGTCTATGTATATTTTAGGGGTGATTTTTAGTAGAAGGAATATATTTTCTCTCTCTAGAAATTTAGGGTTTATGTTCTCATCTAATGGAGGCTCCCACAAGCCTAGTTTTCCAAGGTCATTCATGGAGGCTTATGAGTGATTCCTAAAGGCAAAACAATTACCAAGAAGATGGAGATCCAAGGAGAAGGCATCTTGCTAAGGGATCTACAATAAGTGAGAACATTCACTTTAGAGGAAAGATTTAAAGGTTTACTCAGACCTTTGATGTAAGTATTCAATCTATTAATTGAATGATACATCATATTTTATTTTTGCATAAAACTTGTCTCTATATGATGAATCAAGATCTGTGAAAGAAAATCCCTCGAAAAGTTTTTAAAACTAGCACGTTTCCCAACAGTAGTTGCCATTGAAGAATCTAGAGATCTCTCTTCTCTTTCTCTAGATGATTTATTGGGAACTTTGAAGGCTCATGAAATTCGGATCAATCAAAGAAATCCTCCTCCTCCTCCTCTTAACCAAGCTCTTACATCTCAAGTTTCAATTACGGGAGGCCGTGGTTACAACCATGGTCGAGGCCTTGGAAGGAGTGAAAATTTCCGAGGAAGAGGTTCTAATTTTCGTGGAAGAGGAAGAGCTTTTTCAAAAAATGAAATTTTTTCAAAAGAATATGAGAAAAATCAACACACAAATTTTTCACAAAGAGGAAGAGGATGTGGTTTTTACCAAGGAAGAAAAGGCTATGTTGAATGTTTTCATTGCCATAAACCTGGTCACAAAATTAGTGAATGTTGGGACAAACAAGCTGAAAAAAATGAGACTAGTTTTATGCATGAAAACAAGTCTGATTTCCATGAAAATGACTCTCATAAAACTTTGTTGATTGCATGTCATGGTGATAATACTGATGATGTATGTTACTTGGATAGTGGTGCTAGCAAGCACATGACCGGCAACAAAAATCTGTTTTCAAATTTGGTTGAAGGGGATCATGGCCAAGTAACAATTGGAGATGCCAGAGCTTACAAAATTCAAGGCATTGGAGAAGTTTCATTCAAAACAAATTCCAGCAAAATTGAGAAAATGTCGGAAGTTTATTATGTGCCCGGCTTGAAAGGTAATTTACTTAGCACCGGTCATCTTTTGCGGAAAGGATATGATATTCATTTTCATGATAATGCATGCATCATGACAAAAAACAATCAGCTTGTTGCTAAAATTGGGATGGCAGCTAACAATCTTTTTCCTTTCAAGCTCCAAATTGCTAATATTTCTTGTTTCACTAGTGTTGACAAATAAGACTCCAAGTTGTGGCATGACAAGTTTGGACACTTAAATTTTGGAAGTCTGAAATTGTTGGCGTCAAAGAAAATGGTGGAAGGGCTGCCTCAAATTGAAAGTATAGATGGAATTTGTGAAGAATGCATGCTTGAAAAACAACATAGAGATCCATTTCCTTCACAATCCTTGTGGCGTGCTAAGTATAACGACCCGCTCCACCACATGGTATGATATTGTCCGCTTTCGGCCTGAGCCCGCACGGTTTTTGCTCTTGGGCTTCACCCCAAAAGGCCTCATACCAATTGGAGATGATGCACTTACATATAAGCACTTTACCTTTCCTCTACCCAGGCGATGTGGGACTGTGCACTCGTAGCTCGCCAGTGTGGTAGCCTGACAGTGCCTCTCGCACCCGCCCACAGCACACCCGCCCGCAAGGTCATCACAATCCACCCCCCTTGGAGGCCCGACGTCCTCGTCGGCACACTTCCGGCTGGGTCAGGCTCTGATACCATTTATAACGACCCACTCCACCACATGGTATGATATTGTCCGCTTTGGGCCTGAGCCCGCACGATTTTGCTCTTGGGCTTCACCCCAAAAGGCCTCATACCAATTGGAGATGATGCACTTACATATAAGCACTTCACCTTTCCTCTACCCAGGCGATGTGGGACTTGTGCACCGTAGCTCGCCAGTGTGGTAGCCTGACAGTGCCTCTCGCACCCGCCCACGGTACACTCGTCCGCAAGGTCATCACAATCCATCCGAATATAATACCCCTAATTTCAAAAGGGATAAAAATGGAATTTAAATTTTATTTTTGTGCATTTTAAATTGATTTTGTATCTATATGCTTATGTGTCCAATTGTTTGTTTATTTTAATTCATTGTGTTATTTTTTTTAATTGTTTGTTTATTTTAATTAAGGGTGTAATTCTTTATTTGTTTGTTTATTTTAATTAATTATTTTATTTATTTTATGTGTTTTAAGTGATTCGTTGCTTGCTTATTTGATTTAATTAATGGGTTTTATTAAATTAATTATTTATTAAGTATTTAATTTTTGAACAGGTAATTATGTATTTCCCATTAACTGGGGTTTTAGATACGTTTTAGTTAGGGTTTTTGGAGCCGTCTCATAAGCACTTGATATGTAACTAAACTGGGTTACTTTGTGGGTCGATGAAGTTAGGGCTCTGTGGATTAGGGTTTTAATCTTGTAATTATAAATACCTCAGTATATGTTAAACCTAGGGTTACATATTGTCGTTGCTTTTACACGGAAAAGTCTGCCAAATAGAGAGAGTTACAGAGGGAGTTTTGGTGAGAACAGAGCAGTTTGTGAGAATTTCGACTGGGGTTCCAAGGTTTAACCAAGGAGAAGGAAGGAGCAGAGGTTCTAGGAGGTTAGACAAGTTTCAGTGGATGTCGAAAAAACTGAGACCAATGGCAACAAGGGTTTGTTTGCAAACCTATTCAGGCAAGTTCTATCTTCCTCTTTCCCTTTGAGCCGTGTTCTGTGCACCTAGATATGCTCTAGGGTTTTAAGGAAATTAACAACTAAATCATTCATGTATGTTATACATCAAATTAATCATATGTATGCTTTGAATTATTTCTGTGATGATTTCTGCAATATCTGTTACAGTGCATGCAAGTTGGTTCAGTTTTATGTCCTTTAAGCATGAGGGTTTTTGTCGTAGTTTTTGTCTCTGTTTTTATTGCAACTACTGTAAACTAAGTATGGAAAGACTACGGGAGTTATGTAAATCTCATAGGAAGGTTGTTATTTCTGTTTTAGATCTCTGTTGCATTTTGTTTCGTTGTAATCCATGCATGAGGTTTCAATTTTTGCACAAGTTTACTTCTTTTAATTGATTTAAATTGCTATAATCAAACCTTAGGGATGCTATCAGGAGGGTGTTAGATCCTTTAGATCAGTTTAAGAAACAAGTAGAGGGGTAGGAATTGATCGAAGAAGGAGCAAATTGACGGAAACGGAGCAGAGATGAACTGGAGGCTCTCAAGAGGGAGAGAGCCGGCTCTAGAAAGTCAAGAGCCGGCTCCCCTTCAGCAAGAGCCAGCTCCTAGGGAATTGGAGCAGGCTCCAATAGGGGAAGAGCCAGCTCTTCCATTCCAAGAGCCGGCTCCAATTTGTTTTACGTCCAGAAAGTGTTTTCTAGGGCTCTGTTTGGTGTTTTGAGCACTGTTTGAGCTTTTGAGTGATTCTAATGAACTGTAGGGACTTAACAGAGGATCTAAGTAGTTAATTCTAAGTGTTATTAAACTTATTGTTGCATAGTTTAAGTCTCTAAGACAAAGGATGTAGCAGTGTAAAAATATCCAACGGTGTATGCTACTAACAGAAGAAAGGAACTAAATGGCTTGATTAAATTTTAGAAATTTAATGAGACTTCATGGAGGGATTAAATAATTAATTTTTGGGTGTTATTAAGACCCTAAATTGATTTAAGGTTAATTCTAAATTAACGGATCAAACTGTATAACACTTATGTACATTGTATACGGTTAGTGGATAGATGAAGTTTTAATTACTTAAGCTTATTTTTAGGCATTCCAATGGGATTTAATATATTTATAAAATGGTTTTAAATATATTATAGGGTCATTGATGTGTTAGATGTGATCTATGCAGGCTCTGGATGTTAGTTGTTGATTTATTAAATCATCTCCTGCAACTATATGGTTAATTGTTTGGATTTAAATTCCTGAAACACTTAAAAATCTTTTGTAATTATTTGGATATTGGTTTTGGATTTTAAACTATTGTACTATTATTTATAGCCTGTAATTTACATGGTTTTGGATTTAAGTTATTGGAATACTAAATACTATTCTACAATGATATGGATGGTTGGTTTTGGACTATAAGTTACGTGTTTATTATTTATGCCTTGTAATTTACCTGGAATTATGTATTGGAACATAATTGCTGAATTCTTATACTTAATTCGGTCAATTATTTGGAATCATATATTGGATTATAATTGCAGAATTCTTATATTAAATTTGGCCAATTATTTGGAATTATGTATTGGATTTTAATTGCTGAATTCTCACATTAAAATTCTGTCAATTATCTGGGTTTGGTTTTGCATTGTAAATTACTTGCTTATCATTTGAATGTTGTAATTTACATGGATATGGAGGATTGTATGCACCGGTATGGGACGGTGGCATACTAGGTATGGTTTAGCTCAAAATACTAATTCCTACCTTATGGATTTTAATTGGTGAACAGCTTTGCCTATTCTATCAATTATATGGATTTTGTGGATTGTATGTACCGGTATGGGACGGTGACATACTAGGGACAGACTGATTCAAAATACTCAGTCCTACCTATTTTGGGAAGAAGGGTACGAATTATAAAAACATAATTCTCCTTATATTTAAATCTGTGCAGTTGAATAAACTGAACGACTTACTGGATCTCTTATATAAGTCTGTGCAGCTGAATAAGCTGAACGATTTATTGGAGTTCCTATGGATGGATTTGAATGGACTTTAAATATATGGTTATGGTACCACGAGATGAGCTTGAGTCTCAGACTCGTTAGTTAGGACGCGTATATGCAGTGAATGCGTAGCTAGCTATAGTAGGTTGAGATGTACTCTGTTAGGTCTAGGTACTCATGCCCACCTTTGGGTGCGTTTTCGTATGTTACCTTCTATTCAGGTTGAGACCCCTATTGTAGTTCAGTGAATGTCCCATAGTGTGGATATATATATGTATGGACTAGATAGATATGGTGAGGTATCTATGGTGTATCTGCGTATCGGGTCACTGTATGGATTGCAGTTAGATTAGAACTTGCTCGTAGGCCTGACCCACTCTTCTATTATTCTTTACAGGTGTTCGTTAGTTCTAGGCTGCAGAGCTTGATCGTGCTGAGCAGATACAGTTGTTCACTCCACCGATGACATATGAGTATATTTTGTGTGTAGACTTGGGTTTTGTTTTCCGTCTTTTGAGTTCAGTGGGTTATTTTAGGGGTCCACTAGATGGATTCCCGAGTTGTATTGGAGAATGATATGTGTTCGTGGTGAATCAGTTGTATCTGAATTATCTTATTTATCAATGGAGTTATTTTTCTAAGGTTTTCAAATATTGGATTACTCTTTTAGTTTTCATTTCAGCAAATTTTATTTATCTCTTTTGATATAATTATTCTGTGTTCGATTATTGCTAATTGTTTTGATATCCTCGGGTAATCGGGCGTGGGCCTGGCCAACCCGCATCCGGAAATCTGGGGGTATCACACTAAGCATCCATTGGAGCTTGTTCATACGGATTTGTGTGGTCCATTACCGATTCCATCTCTTGGAGGTAATAGATATTTTCTTCTATTTATCGATGAATTCACTAGAAAAAAATTGGGTATATCTTCTCAAAGAAAAATCTCAATCATTTTAAGCTTTCAAAGATTTCAAGGCCCAAGTTGAAATTTTTTTCCAGTTTTTCAATTAAAACATTAAGAAGTGATCAAGGGCGTGAATATCTTTCCAATAAATTTGAGAGGTTGTGTAGAGATATTGGCATACGGCATGAGTTAACAGTTAGACTCACACCACAACAAAATGGTGTGAGTGAAAGGAAAAATAGAATGGTCATGGAAATGGCAAGATGCATGCTTAAAAAGAAAAAATTGCCATCAGAATTTTGGGCGAAAGCAGTCTCTTGTGCTGTTTATTTGATCAATAGATCTCCCACAAAAATTTTGAAGAATCGTACACCTCATGAAGCATGGTATGGAAGAAAGCCTAGTGTTCAACACTTGAAGATTTTTGGAAATTTTGCTTATGCACATATTCCGGATGTGATGAGAAATAAGCTTGATAATAAGGCCAAAAAATGCATTTTTATTGGGTATAGTGAAAGTTCCAAAGCCTATAAGCTATACAATCCAGAAACCAAGAAAATTGTGATTAGCAGAGATGTAAAATTTGATGAAAATGCTTCTTTTCTTGATTCAAAAACAGGTGGTTCTTCA